CCTCACCCACTCACACACACACTCACACACACTCACACACACACACACACTCACTCAGTCACTCACACAGTCCCTCACTCTCACACACACACACACACACACACACACACACACACACACACACACACACACACATTCTCTTACTCTCATACACTCTCTCACTCTCACACACACACTCTCTCTCTCTTACACACACACACGCACACTCTCTCTCTCACACACACACACACACACTCACTCACTCACTCTCTCTCTCACACACACACATTATGTAAGAACATGGAGGATAGGTGTCTTCCGCCAGGCCGCTATCTGATGTCACGCCGTTCCCTCGTCATCCGTCGTGGGCGTTAACGACAGGCCCGTCTGAGGATCGACGGCGCTGACGGAACATTAGTCGCTACGGCGTGAGGGCTTTTGGGTGAAGATGGAGTAAGCGAACATGCCACTCAGAATAACATGAATCAATCAATCCAGCCCGGGCTCCGAAATATTCCAAGATGGAGTCATTTCATACATGACGGAGCTCAGACGGAAGACCGACGGGCGCATTGATCACATATGGGGGACCGTTGGCGTCCTATACGTACCCGTTCCGGCTAAGCGTTTGGCGTGTGTGTGTGTCTCATGGCGTTCGGATGATGAAGGAGGGGGAGGAGTGAATCAGTTTCCCTGGGAGACAGTGGGCTGAATTACTGACGGGTTTGTGCACCACTTAACCTAATCTAGCATATGATTATGAGACTCAGTCAGGGGCGCCTCCCTCATACGCTTCAGTGCCAGACTCTCATACCTCTTACACACTCTCATACACACTCACACACACACTCTTACACTCTCTCTCACACTCTCAACACTCTCACCTCACTCTCTCTTACACACTCTCATACTCACACACACACACACTCTTACACTCTCTCTCTCACTCTCACACAAACTCACTCTCTCTTACACACTCTCATACACTCTTACACTCTCTCTCTCACACACCCTCACACACACACTCACACAAACTCACTCTCTTACACACTCTCATACACTCACACACACACACACACACTCTCACACTCTCTCTCTCACACACTCTCACACA